GTCGGCATGGTGAACATGATGAGCTCACTGGCTGCAAAGGCACGCCACCGTTCTTGGCAGATTTCCTGCAGAACCCCTTGGGTCACAAGCTCATTGCGGTCAACCAGAAGGGCGACCTCACATCAGTCAGTGGTGGCACGGTATTCGTCTGTGTCGGCTGTGGGGCTTGGGCTCAACAGAGGAGGAAGCTCAGGTTACGGTCGCAGTGTGTCGCCCCAACCAGTAAGGGAGCTGAAGTTCTGTACAACTTACGGCATGGGGTTGGCCCTCATCGGAAACTTGCGAAGTTCATTGATGCCACCGTCCAGCTCAAGAGGTTGGTGCGCGAGGAGGTCAAGCCAGTCCAAGTCAAGACAACCATCAAGCGTGCCGATCCTGAGGGACCGTACACGTTCGAGGTCAGGATGGCGGCTCTGCATGATCGCATCAAACAGAAGGAACAGGAGCGCCAACGACGTGATGATGAGCGTAACACTATATTTGGTCGGAGTTCTCTGTTTCAGCGAGCAGGCGATACTGCTCAACCTTCTGCTACTGGGATTTCTGCTCAGCCTGAGGATCTCAGACATGCTGGCCGAGGATCAGTACTGCTTTTTCAGCTGCTGGTGGTACTGCACAGACTGGTGGGAGTTTTTGTTTCTCAGGCTGAGCAAGCTACCTTGAGCCGTCGAGCGTTTTCAGAACTGCGAGGCGCGATCTGTGGTGGTGGCTCAGTGTTTCCCCCCCAGCCAGGCGAGGGGTTAGGCCTGTGGCGGGTATGCGCTCGTCAACGCTTCCCCCTGCCAGGCGAGGGGTTAGGCCTGTGGCGAGCAGCTCGAGCTCGCCTCTCTCGTCCACACTGGAGCCCGACAAGGTTCGCAGAGACTAGAGTCAGGAACGGCTTTCACGCTCCTGGTCAGCTTCGTCGTGTTCACCCTGAACCAGCTGTCCAGAGCGTGGAGGTCAATTACCCGCTGCTGCGGGACATCGACGCGTAATTTGTTTCTTGGAAACTGTGCAATGGGCTGCCGCCCGCATTTCGTCGAGTTCTTTCTTTTCAGGCACGACGAGCTCGTGCGCGATGCCGCCTACGCCATGGTCTTCGTGGCGATCCAGGGGCGGCACCAGGGCGACCTCATCTGAGAGAGCCCTGCTCGGGCGGTCGGACCGCCCGTCGGATCCCATCGTGGGTTTTCTTGTCCCCTCTCTCGTGGGGAAGGGATTACAGGAATGGGGTCCCCTTCGAGTCGATTGCGCTGTTGTTCGATTCTCCTCTGGCTGGAGCGTTTGAGGAGGTGGGCCGAGGGAAGAGGGGGGGGGGGTTCTGGGAGGCTCATGCAGGTTTCAGGGTGGTGCGGGGGAAACAACGACGAAGAGCGAGGGGGAAACAGAGAAGGAGGATGATGAGGAGGAGGAGGAGGAAGCAGAGGAGGAAGAGGAGGAGGATCGAGGATCGGGGTTCGAGTCGATGTATCATTTTTCATGGTCTTTTTGGGGGGCTCTCTGGAAGCCTCCGAGGATTTCTGGGGACGTCCTGGAGGCGTCTTGGGCCGTCTTGGGGCCCTCGTGGGCCGTTAGGGGACGCTTTTGGGCGCCTCTTGGGGTGTATCGGGGCGATATTGGGGGCCTCCTGGGCCGTCTTGGCGCGTTGGCAAACGTCAGAGGCAAGAGCGCTAGAATCCTGCAAAAACGTAAGGAAAATCTACGATGTTTGCCTCTTGGGGCTCTCGTGGGAAAGCTCCTGGATGCCTTTTGGGGCGTCTTGCAGGCCTCTTGGGCCGTCTGGAAGCCGTGAAGGCGTCTTGGACAGATCGTCAGGCGAGTCGGGGTTCTCGTGGACTGTCTGTGGGGCATATTAGACCACACTTGGCAATTTTTGGAACTCTTTTTAGCTCCGGGAATCCCCGGGAGAGCGTCGTATCTGACCGCCCCCCCCGGGACCACCCCCCAGGACCCCCCCCCAACCCCCCCCCCCCGGCGGGGGAGGGATCGAAGGGAAGGGGCTTCCCTTCGACTCCATTACGGCGTTTCTCAACGCCTGGGAAAGGAGGGGAAGAGGACGACAGCCACGACGACAAACGAGTGACGGGCTGAGGCGGTCCCTGGGAAAGGGGGGGGAGAGGACGACAGAGACGACGACAAACGAATGACGGAGATGACGACTCGAACGGACGAAGCCCCTCACACACGCCGACAGGGTCGGCGGATTTGTGCGTGTGTCCCTGGGTCCTTGTAAATGTGCGTATTGCTGACGCGGTTTCGACTGGAAGTTGCGGAGCGTCACGCGTGACAGGACATCTGGGGCTTGGCATCGCTCGGACGTGTGCATTTTTCCTTCGGCGAGGACCATCGAGGAGCATCCTTGATCATTTGGCGAAAAAACCACGCACGATACCGAAAAAACACAGGGAATAGACGTCCGAGCGATGGCGAGGGGGGTCATACCCATCCCGGCGGCCTTGTTCGCCCCAGCGACAGCAGAGATAGTCGGGGCCTCGCCCCCCTAGCGCCTAGCGAAGACAGGTGTTGGGTGGGCTTCGCCCTCGACCAACGCCCGCTTGTCAGAGCACCTCGACCCTGTAGGCGGAGTTGCAGATTGAGTGGAGCGTGTCCCTCTCCAGGATGACTGGTCAAGAATAATCAAACAATAGTCTGGGGACGATCTTCGTGCTCTTTGAACTGTGCTTGACTATGTTGTTGCTCTGCTCCAGTTTTTGTTCCCCAATTCCGCCTGTAGGAGGACATGCCCGACCCAATTGCAGATGCGGGCGTCACAGGCGCCGAGCCGCTGCCCGTCGGCGCAGCCGTCGAGGACGGCGGCCGCTGCGCCTGGCGGGCCGCTCCTGCGGGACTCGTGCGGGACGCGTGCCTCGCTCCCGCCGCCGTGCCCGAGTGGCTGCCTCCGAGCCCCGCCCTCGACGGAGCTCGCACTCGGTGTGCGGAGCTCGGTGCAGTCCTCGGCGCGCCCCTGTCGGCGGAGTAGTCGGGGAGAGAGAGTGGTTGGTGCTGCTGGTGTTGCGGGTGCATCTGCCATGGCCATGGCTGTTCGTGGGGCAGCTATCGGTTCAGCCGTCGGTGTTCCATTCAACGGTGTACCCCGTGCTGCTGTCGGTGTACACGACAGTGTCTTACGCCATGCAGCCGTCGAGTACACGGCCAAAGATGCCAATAGTCCAGCTGTATGGAGTTGTTGTCTCTGAGAAGTGATTGGTACAGCCTTCGATGGATCAGCCGATGCTGTAGTTGTCGGCGCCGCCGATGCATGAGTCGACGGTGGATCAGTCGGCATTGCAGGTGGTGGTGGGATTGGGAGCGCTCTGCAATGACGTTCGTGAAACCAGTCGGGGCTGCTGTCCCAACGGCAATCCTGATGGTTGCCATTGTCTTAAAACGTGCCGCACGGTCGCAAGGTTTGTCGTCGGTGAAGGTTGCACCGTAATGGTTATCGAGGCTTTTGTCGAGGCAGATGTTGCCGGTGTAGTAGCCGACGGGTACCAGGCGTAGCCATTGTCGGCTTGTTGTAGTCGCTAGAAGGAGCAGTCGGCTTACCAGTCGACGGTGCAGTTATGGGCGCTAGTGATGTCTGTGCAGTTGCTGGCGCGATCATTGCCAGGGCCGTGATAATTCCCTAGATGTCATGGCGCCTCTACTTCTTTCGATGCAGTCGGGGCGCTGGACAAGGAACCCTTTTCGTTGGGGAGGGGCTCCGTGTTCCGTAAGTGTTTCACAACTTGCCTCAGGTTTTCCTTGTGTTTTCGATCGGAAGTCGAAGTTTAACTTATGGAAAAAAAAGGGCCTCGTTCCTCATGTAGGGTTCCTTAGGTCAACGCCCCGACTGGACGTCCTCTGGCCCCCTCTGGGCCGTGCACGTGCCTGCGGGCCATGCTCTGCGAACCCCCCGTCTTGGGCGCCCCCCTCTTGGACGCTCCGGGAGGATGCATGGCCGGTCCTGGGGCAGGGGTGGAGACCTCTGGGGTCGACGTTGCCAAGAAGTCATGACGTCGGGGGTCTGGGAAGGAAGATCGAAAGCTGGGCGGGGGCTGCTGAAAACCGTGGCTGCTAAAACGGCCTCCTGGAAGGAAAGAACAACTTTCCGGAATGAGGCGCGGCGCGCGAAACCGTCAACGGGCTTCTTCCGGGAAGGACGAGGACGACTTCCCGGAGGTCGATTTTAGCAGCCACGGATTTAGCAGCCCTTGCCCGGCTTCCGAGAAGAGGGGGGGGGTCAGAGGCGGCATGACCGACCCACAGGACAACCACCACTTTCGTGACGACCCCGCGCGCCTCGCTCTCGCTCCGCCCTGGCCCGGCGCCTCGCGCGGAGGGCGGGGCCCGCTGGGCTGCGCTGCGGAAGAGCACTGTCTCTTGACGGGCTGTCGTCTGGATTCGTGTTGCAGCACATGCGCCAGCGTGTCTGTTGATCTCCTCGCCAGGGGGCAAAAACATGTGTAATACGTGTTCCCTTCTGGTCGGAATCGAAGGAGGAAAACTCCACTATCATAAGCATTTGGAGCTCCGCGCGGAGGGCCCAGCGCGGATCCAAGAACTCTCCGCGCGGAGCGCCAAAAGTGAGTGTTTCTGGCGTTTGCTTCTTCTGCTAGAAGCCAGTGGGGGCTGGCTTGGCCACGAGTGGGCCAGGGGAGCAGCGGGCGGCTGCCGATGCCACGGTGAGGCCGCCAGAGCCAGCATTGCAAAGCGTCGGGTGCTGCGGCGTCGTGGTGCGGCGCGCGCCAGCGGTGTTGCTGGCGCTCGTTGGGCAGACTGCGAAGATGAGAGCCTTCTGTCATGCGCAGCTGCAGAGTCAGCATCCAGAAAGTTGAGGGCCATGCGTGCGATGATTTGGGGCGCGATGGTGATGAATGCTGAGGCGGTTGTGATAACAACCACGCCTGGGAGAATGAGGAGAACAACGACGGCGACGAGGAGGGTGAGGAGCAGGATGAAGAGGTGTTGCGATGAAGGGTCGGACACGTGAAAGATGAGTGCAGAGAGAGCTCCCCCACGATGTTACCCTTCTGCAGAAGCGCCATCGGGGCGAACATATCTATCCTGAAGCCGTGCGTCCACACAGGCAAGCCGACCGTTTACTCGACCATAGGCTACGACCACTACCCTGCAGGCGTGTGGCAGGGGGAGTAGCGCTGCACAGATCCCGCAATCGTTCGCCTGGTCTGACCGTTCTTTTGGAGGGACTGCCTGTGCGCGGTCCCGAAGCTCTAATTTCCGATGGGTTTCAAGGCGGTGAGGCTCCTCATCCTCGGCATCGCCATTTGAGGCTTTCTGCAAAGGGTATTAAATTGCCTTCGAGGATCGAAGGAGCTGCCATCTCTTCCGCGGCGGAGGCGGCGGAAGTAGAACGGCGGCGGCTCCGGCGGCGGAAGGTGGCCAAAAGATGACAACATTTGGGGGGTTCGGGGTTTCTGGAGTCCGACATGTATCGTCCTCCCCCTCCTCCCCTCCCTCATGCTGCGCCATGTCGCGCGGCGGGCTTCCGCACAGGTCTCGACCGTACTGCCTCGGCGCTGATCGGGGATGGCCGTAATTTCTAGATAGCGTTGGCCAGTGGGGCGGTACGCCAGTCCCAGAGCACCTGTAGCTTCGAGACGGATATTGTTCCTTCGAGCGTTCGTCGTCGTCCCCGTCCACCCCTTCCTCTGACACCTGCTCCTACGGTCGGGCCGAGGTAAAAACATCGAGGTCGCTTCGGGGAGAGTGCCCTCGTGTTCTTCGTGTTTGTTGGATGTTCTTGGAGCATCCTGGGGAGGGTACCCTTTGAAGCTCTGCTTGTTCTTGGTCGACGGAGGTTTTCATGTCCTTGAAGGATGCTCTTCTGGCCCAGGTCCGACTGCACTGTTCCTTCCGGCGATCGGCGCCGTCCCCCTTCAGCCCTTCCTCCGATACCCGCCCCCGATGCCCGAGTGCGTGCGGGCGCGAGCACCTGGTACGCCGCAGCATGACAGGGGCAGCCCGCACGCGCGCTCGGGCAAGCTGGACGACCGGCACTGCACTGCGCACTGCCCGGGCGCGTGCGGGCGCGGGCACCTCCTCCTCCTCCGCCTCCTCCTCCTGATCCTGCTCCTCCCCCCCCTCCTCCTCCTCCGCCTCCTCCTGCTGCTCCTGCTCCCCCTCCTCCTCCTCCTCCTCCTCCTCATCCGCCTCCTCCTCCTGCTCCTGCTCCTCCCCCTCCTCCTCTCTCCTCCTGCTCCTGCTCCTCCTCCTCCTCCTCCTCTCCTCCTCCTCCTCCTCCTCCTCCTCCTCCTCCTCCTCCCTCCTCCTCCTCCTCCTCCTCCTCCTCCTCCTCCCTCCTCCTCCTCCTCCTCCTCCTCCTCCTCCTCCTCCTCCTCCGCCAACCTCCTCCTCCTCCTCCTCCTCCTCCTCCTCCTCCTCCTCCTCCTCCTCCACATCCACCTCCCCCTCCTCAGGCAGAGGGCGGGCGGACGGCCTGCCCCTGCCCGACGGTGGGACAGACACGGTCCCGCCTTTTCATCGGGCGAGCGCCAATGGGGGGTGGCCCAAACGGGGGGTGAAGAAAAAGGCCCAACAGGGCCCTTTTCAGGGGAACAAAAAATAACATAAATATAAAAACTCGGAGGTCCGCGCGGATTTTTCGGATCGGCGCTGGGGCCCCTCGGCGGCGCCTCCGGCGCCGCCCCTGGCGCGCTCCGCGCGCTAGGGAGGGGGGTCCACTCGAAAGTAGCAAAAAAGAATTATCTGGGGACGCTCTCTTGACGATTTCTGACTGTTGTGTGGGGAATATTTGGTGTATTCTTAATGCTTCGTCCAGAATCCCCCCTGATGGGGGGACGCGCCCGACCTGAGCCTTCCCCTTCTCGCTTGCCCCCTCGGCGCGCCGCCGAAAGGCCACCTCTGCCCTAGCTCTAAGTCGGGCCTGTCCCCCATATAGAGGGATTTTCGACGAAACATTTAAAATACCCTAACAAGGCCGGAAAATATTCAAAAAATAGTCCCCAAACTATTTTTGGATTTGTTTTAATTCTTTTTGGGGTAGTTTTTATTTTTCATCGAAAATCCCCTTGTAGGGGGACACTCCCGACTTCACCCTGGCCCCCGGTGCGACGGGCACGCGCGCAGGCCAACAGGCCAGGCGGCCCCGCCCGGCGGGGCAGCGCCGAGGCACGCGGCCCCTCCGCCGGAGGCCGAGCGAGCAGCGAGGCCCCGCCCTGCACGGGGCTCGAGAGGCCGACCCCCCTCCTCCTCCTCCTCCTCCTCCTCCTCCCCTCCTCCTCCTCCTCCTCCTCCTCCTCCTCCCTCCTCTCTCCTCCTCTCCTCCTCCTCCTCCTCCTCCCCTCCTCCTCCTCCTCCCCCTTTCTCCTCCTCCTCCTCCTCCTCCTCCTCCTCCTCCTCCTCCTCCTCCTCCTCCTCCTCCTCCTCCTCCTCCTCCTCCTCCTCCTTCCTCCTCCTCTCCTCCTCCTCCCCCCCCTCCCCCTTCTCTCCTCCTCCTCCTCCTCCTCCTCCTCCTCCTCCTCCTCCTCCTCCTCCTCCTCCTCCTCCTCCTCCCTCCTCCTCCTCCTCCTCCTCCTCCTCCTCCTCCTCCTCCTCCTCCTCCTACCCCTCCTCTCCTCCTCCTCCTCCTTCCTCCTCCTTCTCCTCCTCCTCCTCCTCCTCCTCCTCCTCCTCCTCCCCTCCCCCTCCTCCTCCTCCTCCTCCTCCTCCTCCTCCTCCTCCTCCTGCTGATGGATGGTCTCTGCTCTGCCCCCGAGGTGAGGCGGCGACGGCCCTTCGCCTGCCGAGGCCCGGGAGACCGAGAGGCCCGCCTTCTGCGGAGAGAGGGCGGGCGGAAGGGGCCGGCGCCTCCCGCGCCCGTGCCCAGACGGAGGAGGAGGAGGAGGAGGAGGAGGAGGAGGAGGAGGAGGAGGAGGAGGAGGAGAAGGAGGACGGGGAGGAGGAGGAGGAGGAGGAGGAGGAGGAGGAGAAGGAGGAGGAGGAGGATCAGAAGGAGGAGGGGGGGGCACGGGCACCCGCCGGCGTGCCTGGCACGGGCGGCGCTCCGCTCGCTCGCTCGCGCTCCCTGTCCTTCGGGGGCGCCCAAGGTCGAGCAGTGGCGAAGCGTCCCGGCTTGCCTATAGGCCCCCACCCAGGGATGTTATGAGAGCTTCTTGTGGTCTGCACGAAGTGTTCTTAGAACGTTTCTGGCCGAGACTGGCTTGTTTAACGCATCGGCTTTATGGTATAAGAACAGTGTTTGTGCTCTTCGAACAGTTCTGGGCCCTAAAAACATGTCGCGGTAGGCCCATAGGAATGCCAGGACGGTCGGTCCCTGCTCAACAGGGGGATTGAGGACAAATTCGGTAGCAACTCATGCCGTACAGCTCTCCTCGAAAACACGTGGTCGATGGCGGTCGACGCGCGAAACGCGTCGACCACGGGGTCAGATGTGTGTTGTGTCTGCAGTCGCCAAATGTTGGCACGAGCATGGAAGTGTTGAGGTCCTGGGGCGCCGCAACGTCGCGGGAAGAACTTGAGTTTGATTTCGAGGGGGGACGTAGCAACTCATTCCGTGGACACGCCAACGGCGATGTGGGTCACGGCGATGTACAGGCTTCGGTGTTGTAGGTGGGGGTGGTTCGTGGCCAACCCAGTTGTAGGAAAGACTTCTTCGTGCTTTCCATTAGTTTGCTCTGCGTGAGTTCGGCGTCGCAGAAACCAGATTCCCAACATCGCCGTTAACCACCATCGCGGTTAGCGTGGCCTTGGTCATGGGAGCCTTGTACGTCCTCGAAATTCCGTCTTTCTCTACAGCGCATCAGCGTCGGTTGGCGTCGGTTAGCGTCGGCCAGCGTCGATTCGCAAGAGCAAGCAAGGTGGCATGGGAGACTGCCCTGATCTGCCACAGACGACTAATGGGCGTGTGGATATCGCGGCGGGGGCCGAGAAGTCACCTGGATCTCGTGGCCCCCGCTTCTCCCGGGACGTCGCCTGGCCCCATCCACCTCCCACGTCCACACGTGCCGCGGGCCATGCCCCACACCCACCCAGGAGGAGGAGGGGAGGAAGAGGAGGAGGAGGAGGAGGAGGAGGAGGAGGAGGAGGAGGAGGAGGAGGAGGAGGAGGAGGAGGAGGAGGAGGAGGAGGAGGAGGAGGAGGAGGAGGAGGAGGAGGAGGAGGAGAGGGAGGAGGTGGAGGAGGAAGGCCAGTATAAACCCAAGACTCGTCAACGATGTTGGAGTACACCCTCCCTCTAAGCTCCCTCCTCATGAGCCCCTACAAGGATTTATCGTCATTGAGGGAAGTGCCCCGTTGGGAAACAACCGTGCCCCATTGGGAGGCAACCTGGCTGTTGCGGCGTGACGATCCTGAACCCTGCCAGAACACCGTTCTTGGGATTTCAACACCGCGAGTTGACGTAACCCGTAAGGTTATTTTGCTTTGATACCCCCCTGTTTCTTTTGGCGGTTAATGAAACTGGTCCCTCATCTTCCTCCTGCTCCTCCTCCGGCTCCTCCTCCTCTCCCTCCTCCTCACCTCTATCCTCCTCCTTCTCTTCCTCCTCCTCCTCCTCGTCGTCGTTGTAGCGCGGAGGGTGGCGTGGATGAATCTTTATTTTCCGCTTTGGTGGGACCCCAGTCCTTCAATGAGGTCGCCGAAAAATAATGTGTTACCCCTTACTGGGGGGGATGTAAAGACCCTTCTACTTTAATTGCCGCGCCTTGGTGGTCCTGCATCGATCCAAAACACCACTGTGGTACGCTAGCCATGCGAATCCGCGAAACTTTTGCAATTTTGCAGGACGAATTTGCGCGGCGCTCAGGCGAGAGCCATATTTTTAAAAGGAACCGGCTTCAATCATTGGAAACACTTGCACATGTTTAAGACGAGTGCGCGCGGCGCTAGGTGAGAGCCACACTTTGAGAACGACCCGCTCTCAACCCGTGAAACGCTTGCACACTCTCAGGCCAAATGTGCGCGGCGCTACGGCGAGAGCCACATTTTGAAAACGGCACGCCCTCAATCCGTGAAACTCTTGCACATTGTCAGGCCAGATGTGCGCGGCGCTAAGGCAAGAGCCACTTTGTGAAAACCACCTGCCCTCCATTTGTGAAGCTGTTGAAAGTGTTTAGGACGAGTGAGCGCGGCGATACAGCGAGAGCCACTTTTTGAAAACCACCCGCCCTCCATGTGTGAAGCTCTTGCCAATTCTTAACCTTCATCAGAAATATTGTCGATGTCTCAGGCGAAACGCCCGGCCCGCCTTTTCGACCGGCCTCGGGGTGCGACAAGGAGGGGTTATTCATAAGGCAAAGGAATGGAGGAGGATCAGGAGGAGGAGGAGGAGGAGGAGGAGGAGGTTGGAGGCAGAGGAGGCGAAGAAGGAGGAGGAACAACAGGAGGAGGAGTAGGAGATGGAGGAGGAGAAGGAAGGAGGAGGAGGAGCAGGACAGGAGGAGGAGATAGGAGGATAGGAGGAGGAGGAGGAGGAGGAGGAGGAGGAGGAGGGGGGCCAGGAATCCCTGTCTCCTTTTTCCCCAACTCACGGGGGGCGCCCGCATTTGGCCGGTCTCCTCCCGGGGAAACCACCATCGCCTCGGGAGGGCCTGGCTCGCCTTCCCGCCACGATCGCCCGGGAGGAGCTTGTGGTAGCTCCTCCCGACCCAGACCCTGGCGTCATGAATTGTTAACATATTTGTTCCAAAGAGGTCTCAACCCATTCCCCGGGACTGGCTAATCATCTTGAGTCTGTGTTTGACGGCCCCAGGGCTCGACGATAGCCCCCAGAGGGCCCCAAAGCACAAAACGGCACAAAAAGACGGCCGCAGTGATTGTGTCACGACGCGAGGGGGTCTGGGTCTCCTCCCGGTCCCCCCTTTTCGGCGCACCCGAGTGCCATCTTCCCCCCCCGCCTTGCGAGGCTTTGATCCGGACAGCGAGCCGCTCCAGTGCGGCCTGAACGAGAGGGAGAGCTGTAAGAAGGGCCGCCGGGCGGAGGTCATTCGCATCTCGATCGCCTGCGCAGGACGGCGAGGGGGTCGAGGAGGAGAAGAACGGGAAGTAGGCCAGGCTTCCCAAATGGGGTCGGAGCAGACGGGGTCGGAGGATCCCCCAGCATCGCCGATGCATCGGCGGTGCGGCTGGCTGTGTGGAGCCTGATTTTCTCCACGCCGACGGCGCCGATGCATCGCCGACGTCGCCGATGCTGTGCCGATGCGTCGGCGATGCGGCCCGATCATCCGCCCCCATCTATTCGGACCCCATGTGGGAGGCCTCCAGAAGATGGCTCGAGGATCGAGGATGGCGGTGTGTACATGCTTTCTCTTGGAAAGGGCGTCGGTACAGGGTTTGACGGGGATCGTCTTCGGGGGGCGAGCAGCGTGGACCATCGTTTTGCTGTACACGTGACATAATGAGAACTTGAACGCAGTGTGGTGCTCGATCGCACTTTGCATAGCGTTGGCAGATGATGGGACGCGTGTGCCAGGAGCGAGGAGCGTCGACAGTTGGAAAAGGGCCGAACTTGAAGCGAAGTCAAACGCTGTATGTTGTCATATCGCACAGGACAGAGGTTTGGCGGACGCACGCGCCCCCGAAGCAAAAGGCCACGAGGGGGCCATCAGACACGAGAGAGCCAGTGGCCGCGAGCCACCGAATCGAACATCGACGCACGGCCGCACGAGATGCCCACGGGCCACAGGCCACCGAGCTCGCCGCGGGCCACGGGCCTCCTGAAGCTGCTTGCCAGGGGCCAGGCGCCACGGGCTGGGCCCACCGCGTGAGCGCTAAGGAGTAAAAACAAAGAAAAGAAACAAAAACACACACACACACACACACACACACACACACACTTTTTGGTCTGCGGGTCGAGAGCGAGCCTCTTTCGGTTAAGAGCTAGGCGGGGCGCGGGTAGCCCTAATTGGGGAGAACGGGCGCGGGCGGGCGGGGCCTTAGGCGGCCGGAGGGCTCAGAGGACAGGCGGTGCCGAAGATCTTGCACAGGACAAGGTACGCCATGGACTGGAGCAGGGGGCGAAGTCCCAGAGGGAGAGTGGATTGGTGTTGCCGTCATCGGCGCGCCAAGAACACCATCCTCGAGTGCTGCGTGAGGAGGGCCGTGAGGATCACACACACACACACACACACACACACACACACACACGCACGCACACACGGACCACCGAGTCGCTGGTCGACGCGCGCCCTCCAGGGAGAAGCCGTGAGTGGGCCGAGCGCCACGAGGCGGCCAGCCGGCCGACGCGCAGCACGCCGCAGGCTGGGCGCGCGCCCCGCGCGAGGTGGCCTCGGGCGGCGGGCACCCGACGCGGCGGGCAGCGGCCTCCCCCCCCGCGGGGAGCCACGAGGGGGCCTCCTCCTCCTCCTCCTCCTCCTCCTCCTCCTCCTCCTCCTCACTCCTCCTCCTCCCCCTCCTCCTCCTCCTCATCCCCTCCTCCTCCTCCTCCCCTCCTCCTCCTCCTCCTCCTCCTCCTCCTCCTCCTCCTCCTCCTCCTCCTCCTCCTCCTCCTCCTCTCCTCCTCATCCTCCTCCTCCTCCTCCTCATCCTCCTCCTCCTCCTCCATCTCCTCCTCCTCCTCCTCATCTCCCTCCTCCTCTCCTCCTCCTCCTCCTCCTCCTCCTCCTCCTCCTCCTCCTCTCCTCCTCCTCTCTCTCCTCCTCCTCCTCCTCCTCCTCCTCCTCCTCCTCCTCCTCCTCCTCCTCCTCCTCCTCCTCCTCCTCCTCCTCCACCGGACCGCGAGCCACCGCAGCCGCGGACGGAGGTGCCAAGGGCGCTGGCTCGCGCAGGCAGCCTTCCCCCCCAGCCTGCTCGCGCGACTGAGAGCACTGGCCCAGGCCCAGATTCTCCCCCGCGCCCCTCCCCCCTCCCTCGACCTTCGGCCAAGCGCCGAAACACGGAGCAAGAAGACGCCTGCCTGAGTTCTCCCTAGACAGCGTTTCGCGAAAGGGCGTCCTATAGAGGTACGAAAAAGGGCAGAGGATTCCTCCCCTCCTTCGACCTTCGGCCAAGCGCCGAAACCCAGAGAAAGAACACGCCTGCCTGAATTCTCCCTAGACAGCGTTTCGCGATAGGGCGTTCGATAGAGGTACGAGAAGGACTTGGCATCGCTCGGACGTGTGCATTTTTCTCGGCGAGGACCATCGAAGAGCATCCTGGATCATCGAGCAAGAAAAACACGCACAAAACCGACAAGCGCACGGGGAGAGGGCGTCCGAGCGACGGCAAGTCGGCCAAACGCCGAAACCCAGAACAAGAAGACGCCTGCCTGAGTTCTCCCTGGCAGCGTGTCGCGAGAGGGCGTTCTATAGAAAGATACGGACAAAGAGCACAGAGAAGTACCGCCATGGATCGTCTGGTCTGGCAGCCGTGTCGCCGGAGACCTCACACTTTGTTCATCGACTACGCGTAGTTGATTTCTAAGTATTCGAGGGTTCTTTGATTTTTGTTGGGGGGCCAAGCTCCTTTCATTTCTAATTGTTCTATCCTGGGCCTCTTCCTGGCCACTAGGGGCCCAGGAACAATTAGAAACGGGCACAATTAGAAATGAGCACGATGAGAAATGAACGACGCGTATACTTTATTCATCGACCACGCGTAGTTAAGAGTGGCCTTTCGCTGGAGTGGCCTGTGGTGCGGACCCAATAAGGGTCTCCCAATCGCCTTGCGCGATGCGGTGGTAGCGTCTTGCGTGCTTGAGTCTGGTGCCCCCGCGGCCCCCCAAAAAACCGCACCGAAGGTCACGCTTACAGTCCACCCGCATAACAAGTATGGGCAACCTTCCCAAGGGTACCCTTGCACCCTTGCCCCTCCGCCCCGCCCTTCGCAACTCTCGCTGGCCAACCTCGCTCGACCAACGTCAAGAGGGGCCTCCAAGGCCCCTGCATCCTTACCATACTCGCCGACTGTACCCAGGGCCACTCCTGCGCGCAGCCGAATTCAGGAGTCGTGCTCTCGTCTCCATGCTGGGCACATGCTTGGCCCCGACGGCCACGACCCTCTTCGTAAAACAGGCACCACGGTGCACACGGCCGGGCTCTCACCCCGTATTTATCCCCTCTGCAGCCGACCTCCCATTCCTCGGCCCGCCTTGGCGCCATTGCTGCTATCATAGCGCTCTGCTGCGGTGCAGTCAACCCGCATAGTAGGGAGGGGCAGCCTTCCCAAGGATTCCCTTGCATCCTCGCCTCCTCGGTCCATCCTTGGCCACTTCCGTTGGCCGCGCCCCGCTCGGAAAGCTTCGAAACGGCCTTCCAAGGCCTTTGCATCCTTTTCGCGCATCCTTATGATACAGGCCGACTGTAGTTTCAGCACGGGGCACCTGGAAGCCCCGACCCTTTCAGCAGGGCCAGTTCTCATCCCGAGTCGTTTTGTTGGTGGTCCCGGGGCCCAGCGAGGGCCCCTGGAGGCCGACAGCTTCACAAAGCCTCCCGTCGTGTTTTTTGGTCGCAACGCGAGCCTGTTTGGGGAGAAGGCGGGGAGCTCTGGTCCCCCAGGAATGATCATCGGCCACTTCCGGCCGGCGATGGTCAACAACATCCTCTGCGCTCAGCGGTCGATGCGCTCGCAAGGTCAGGCGCCCCGAGATGAGAGTCTGGGCAGACGCTGCGCCTCTCCAGCCCTGCCCCTGGCCTCGCCTGCTCAGTCGGGGTTGGTCACAGGTGTCGGCGCTGATCACGTCCAAGCTTGCGCGGAACGGCTTTTCGACGTCGGCCAGAGCAGTTCGACTGGGGCTTTCAGAGCGGAGGGCGTTATTCTCCGATGGCACGTCGAGGCCCAGAGGCCACGACTCGAGGAGGGCGTCAAAAGAAGCTTCCCCGTAGGACGGCGAGGGGGATAGAAGGATGTGCTCCTCCTCCTCCTCCTCCCTCCTCCTTCGGCTTTACTCGAGAGGCTTGCACACTTCCGCCGACCCCCAGACGAAGTGAGGCCGTGCAGGCGTCGTGGTGGGCGTCTTGAGAAGTCTCTTGAGAGTTTCCTGCGACGGAGGAGGAGGAGGAGGAGGAGGAGGAGGAGGAGGAGGAGGAGGAGGAGGAGGAGGAGGAGAAGGAGGAGGAGGAGGAGGAGGAGGAGGAGGAGGAGGAGGAGGAGGAGGAGGGAGGAGGGGGGGGGGGAGGAGGAGGAGGAGGGGTGGGGAGGAGGAGGAGGAGGAGGAGGAGGAGGAGGGAGGAGGGGGAGGAGGAGGAGGAGGAGGAGGAGGAGGAGGAGGAGGAGGAGGAGGAGGAGGAGGAGGAGGAGGAGGAGAGGAGGGGAGGAGGAGGAGGAGGACGAGGAGGATGAGGAGCAGGAGGAGGAGGAGGAGGAGAAGGAGGAGGAGGAGGAGGCATTCAAGCATATCTGGGTGCATGGGAGGAGTGGCCGCCGCGCAGTCGCTGCTCCGCGCACGGGGCTCACTCTATCCTGCGCCTCTCGAGAGGGAGGGCACTGGCATATGCTGCGCGTGTCGCGTGAAGCGAGATGCTCTTGGAGAGGCGTCGCGGATGGTCGATACGACCTCTGCATCTTGGGGTGTTCGGAGAAAGAGGGGGAAGGAGAAAAATAATGAAATGGATGGTAACGACGGTGAGAGGACGGAGGAAAAGGAGGAGGAGATCGAGGACAGCGAGACGGTTTGTGATGTTGTCCGCGCTCTCCTTGGGGCCCCCCTCGTGCAGTTCGGGGGTGTCTTAGGGGGATTCTCGGGCGCCCTTGGGGAGTCTCATTTGAGCATTTTCGAAGCCTCTGGGAGCTCACGGGGGGTCATCTTCGGGGCCTGCTGGCGGCTGAGGTGGCGGCCTCTCGGAGCTCTGTCCAGGCCCCCAGAGGATTCTGGGAACCCTTTTGGGGGGTTCGGGGGGGGGCCTCTTGGAGCCAGTTGCGGGTCTTGGAGGTCATCTTCTTGGAGAGGGGCTCCCAGGGACTCTGCGAAGTCACCCTCTTGGGCCTCTCTTGGGGGTGCATCCGGGTTTTTGTACCGTCTTGGAGGCCTCTTGGGCCATCTTGGGGCCATCCTTGGCCGTCTCCAGGCCGTTTGGAGGTCTCTTGGGTTGGCTTGGGCCAGTCTGGGGGGGCTTTCTGGGCCACCTTGAGCTTGCAGACGCCAAAATGTCGAGAACGCGAACATCATGCAAAACCCAATGAGGAATCAATGTTTTTTTTGCCTCTTGAGGAGGACCTCTGGGGGGGGGTCCTCTTGGGGTTTTCTTTCGGCATATTTTGCCGTCTTGACACTATCCTGGGTGTTCTTCAGGCCTCTCCGGCGTACTGGAGTTCTTCTGGAGCCATTTTGGAAAGCATATTGGGATCTTGGCTGCCACCCCAGGGGGGCGTTGATGAGTTCGGGGGCCCACCACCCCCGCGTTGATGAGCTCGGGGACCCTCCCACCCCCCAGCCCCTTCAAACGCGATTGTGGACCCTGGGGGTGGGGGGAAGGTGAGGGGGACAGCCAAACGTCTCACACGCTTTTTCACCCAGGACAAGCTGGGGTCGGCGGACTTCCGAATTACGCCAGGCACCAGGGGTGATTCGACATACGATTATTGTTTCTGTATGCCCTAGAAAGGTGGCGGGTTAATGTCGACCCCTGCGTATGGCTACACATGCGCGTCTGCGGCAGACGCTTTCTGTTCTTGCACGGAGCGGCTGGGCTTGCAGAAGGACCGGACCGCCATGACCTGCGCAGTGTCGATACGGAGGGAAATGGGGGCCACACAGTACAAGTCGCACCCTGGAGTCGATTGACAAAGACGAAGATACCGTCAGCATCGCAAACGTATTGCAAGTTGTCATCCGATGCGACAGGAAGCGTCAAGAAAGCAGCGTGCTGGACTCGCCGTGCCGTCAGGGCTCTGCACTTCCTCGTACTCCCGTTCGTGATATGTGTGTGGTGTGTGTGGTGTATTGTATGTTGTGTTTTGTGTGTGTGTTTTGTGTGTTGTGCGTTGTGTGTTGTGTGCTGTGTGTTGTGCGTTGTGTGTTATGCGTTGTGTGTTGTGTGATGTGTGTTCTGTGTTCTGTGTTCTGTATTCTATGTTGTGAGTTGTGTGCTGTTTGCTGTGTGCTGTGTGCTGTGTGCTGTGTGTTCTGTGTTCTGTGTTCTGTGTTCTGTGTTCTGTGCTGTGTGTTGTGTGTGTTGGCAGAGGTGGATGCAGATGTTCGCGTGGGAAGGCCGAATGATGGGGAGCGGGGTAGGGAGGAAGGTGAGGGTTCTTTTACATCATAGCTTATACGCGCAACGCGAATGCGTGACAAAAAAACACTTCCAGCGAATGATGGGAGATCATCCCCGCCGAAACTTGTCCCATGCTCCTCCAACTCCTCTTTCTCCTCCTCTTGCCATGGCCCCTCATCCTGGGGCGAGAGGAGGACAGAGAGAAGCTAGAGAAGAGTGGGCGGCACTGGGTGCATCGGTCGATTGGGCATTCAACCGAGAGGGAGGCAGAGAGAAAGAGAGAGAGGCAGGCAGGAAGGCAGAGAGAGAGAGGTGAGACAGGGGGAGGCAGCAGGAGAGGAGGGAGGGGGACAGAGACCGAGCAAGAGAAAGAGAGGAGAGGGATGGGGAGACGGATGCAACGCTTCATTGAGCGTTTAATAGACATAGAGGAAGAATGGAGAAGGAGGAGAAGAGGAACGCAACGCTCCATTGATCGCTCAACCAACAGAAAACATTATAGAGCCTCTCCGTTCCTATTCAACCCGATACCTCACATCGCAGCGTCGCAATGGGCATGTTTCTCTCTCTCTCTGTCTCTCTCTTTTCTCTCTGTCTCTCTCTCTTTCTCGCTCTCTCTCTCTCTCTCTCTGTCTCTCTCCTCTCTTGCTCTCTATCTCTCTCTCTCTCTTTCTCTCTCTCTCTCTCTCTCTCTCTCTCTCTCTCTTTTCTATCTCTCTCATGATATATACGTGTCAAAATAGTTTATACATACATGATATGATATGTATACATGTGTATATATATATATATATATACATATGTCCCCTTCTGTTTGCGAAGGGTTCCGTCAGATTAAAAAATCCTGGGCCACCCTATGAATGGGGGGAGGGTGGGGGTAGTGAAGAGCGGAGTGCGAGCGAGGAGGTAGAGGAGGAGAGAAATGGGTTCGGGAAGCAGTATGACGATTAATTGTTTTGTCAGGAATCGGGCAGCTTCGTCGTCAGTGGGGACAGATGGGAGACGTAGGTGCGCAGCGACGAGGAGCAGTGTCGCAAGAGATATGTTTGCAGATGACGAATGATAGAGGGTGGTTGTCTGTGGGAGCTGAAGCAAAGGAAAAGCATGCAGTTTCGTCAAACCTCGCTTGAGGCACAATTCCGCGCTACCGTCATGGCATAGATCTTCTGATACGTAGTGGCGAGGAAGTTGATGCCACTAGGAGCATCGCAACAGGCACGACGAATATCACTTTGCCATACGGCGTTTGATAAGCCATTGCCATGCAATTTCTGTGCCGTATGTGCGCGTTGGCCATGTACTTCTGTGTTCTCTGCCCGACAATAGGGGAGATTGGCAGGGAACCCTTGGCGCGAGCATTATCTCACCATTACCATTTTGACTACGAGAAAAAGCTGGACCGCCTTCGTCTTTGCATTGGAGGATGAGCTTCGGGACTGCGAATGCCAAATGCAAGCATCTAGGAGGAACGCACATTTGGCGCGAGCACTTTTTCACCACTTCCATTTTGACGACGAGAGAAAGCCAGACCGTTTTTTCTTTGCATTGGAAGATGAGTTCCAGGACTGTGAATGTCAGATGTCGGCATTTGGGGGTGAATCAACTTGGTTTTTGCAGCACTAGGCGGCCCGTGAATTACCGTCCACCGGCAACACTGCTCAGGCATCCAAGGAAAAAGAGATGGGGAATGTGGCACTCTTCATCATCGGAGTTCGCTGCACCGCATATGACGCACCGCATAGGTTGCAACGCATAGGTTTGCGCCACAACGATGGCACATCGAGGGTGCAAGGGTCCAGAGTTTGGGGCCGACGCTGGCAACCGTTGTCGTCTGCCCAAGAATGTGTCCGTCATCCCGTGCAAGGCTGCCAAATACATTGCAACGTTAGCAAGCAACACGGCGCGGCTCGATGAGCCGTGAGTGGCGCGTGGCTTGAGAGCACGTCGCATCGCAGATCATACCACACATACGTGAAACATGCTTACAAGTGTGTGAAATCCGCGGAGTAAGTTTTTGACAAAAGTTTGTGCGACCCCTATGCTGAATGATTTCGTTGGCGGTTCTTCGCGTAAGCATGTCCAATGAATTAGATTCACACATGTGTAATATATATATATACACATCTGTATATATATATATGTGTAATCTCGGAGGTTGGGGGGTGGGATCGCAGTGGAACGGAGACCCCCAACCGGGAAATCGTTTCGTTTCGTTCGTGTCGCGCGTGCGAGCGAGGAGAAGCTGCGTGGGTGCGCGAGAGGAATGAACCCACTGTTGCTAGGGCGAAGTCAAGACAAATGATTATCCCCCTCCCGCCCGTCCGGCGGTGGCTCGCGGTGTCCCGCGGTGTCCCGTGGTGTCCCGTGGTGTCCGCCGTTATTCGGGCGAAGTCAAGACAAATGATTCTCCCCCGCCCGCCCGTCCGTCCGTCCGTCCGTCCGTCCGGCGGTGGCTCGCGGTGTCCCGCCGTGTCCCGTGGTGTCCCGTGGTGTCCCGTTGAGTGAGATCGATAGTGAGATCGATATTGAGATCGATTTTGAGATCGATGTGGTGCCCCGAAGTGTCCCGTGGTGTCCCAAAAAATGAGATTGATAGTGAGATCGATAGTGAGATCGACAGGTGTCCCGCGGTGTCCCGTGGTGTCCCGTGGTGTCCCGTTGAGTGAGATCGATAGTGAGCTCGATACTGAGATCGGTGTGGTGCCCCGAGGTGTCCCGTGGTGTTCCGTGGTGTCCCAAAAAGTGAGATCGATATTGAGATCGATAGAGAGATCGACAAGTGTCCCGTGGTGTCCCGTTGAGTGAGATCGATAGTAAGATCGCTAGTGAGAACGATAGTGAGATCGATAGTGAGACCGACAGTGAGATGAAGAGGTGTCCCGCGGTGTCCTGTGGTGTCCTGTGGTGGCCCGTGTTGTCCCGTGGTGTCCCAAAAAGTGAGATCGATAGTGAGATCGATATTGAGATCGACAAGAGTCCCGCGGTATCTCGGGGTGTCTCGTGGTGTCCCGTTGAGTGAGATCGATAGTGAGATCGATTGAGTCAGATGTTGGTTCCCCCCCTCTCCACCCCCAGACAACCTCCTTGTCACCCGAAGGGTGGTCGTATAGGTATTTGTATGGGAACTCGCTTGTTTCCCTTCACTAGGTGTTGCCTTTGAATGTTCCCGGGTCGCCCAGCCTGTGCCGGGGGGCTTTGTTGCGGTAAGATCGAATGTTGCCCGAGGGGCCCGCGCGTCGAGACATTGGCAACATGCTGAGGTGGTTCGCCCCGTTTCGCATGAGACGTCTTCGCTGCGTTCCGAGACGACCAGATTTGAGATGGTCTGGCCCGTTTTGCTTGAGACATCCTCGCAACTCTGGGCTCCCAGACGCTACGCGAGAGGTGGTCCGGCCCATATTGCCTGAAACATCTTCAAAATTTCTGGGTTCGGGGATACCGTGACCTGAGGTTGCCTCGTCCGTTTCGCTTGAGACATCGTCGCTACGCTGGGCTTGAAGATGCCGCCCGCGATTTGATCCGGTCAGCTTCGCCTAGACGTCCCCACAATTCTGGGCAGAGAAATGCCGCGTGCGAGTGGGTCCTGCCAATTTCGCATGAGACGTCCCCGCAATTCTGGGCAAGCGTTGAGGAGTGCGAAGGGGAGGAGGGGGGGAGGAGGAGGAGGAGGAGCAGGATGATTGAGGACGAGGGAGAGGAAGGATAATGCTCGTATTGCTGTCAGATCAGTACTCGTGTTCCCAATGCTCTCGGGACACTTCTTCTCGCCAGGGCTGGACGCGGCTCGACCGTGCCTGGTGATGCAGGCCAGTGCTCTGCTGACGAAGGGCGTGTCACGGGCCCGTTCGCGCCCAGATTGTGGGGATGTCTCCAAAAGGTCCGCCTGCTTTACGGTGTGGAGGTACGTTTCGGAGCCGCATGGTCCTCGCTGGCCACTTCGGTTGGCTTCTGGGGCTGTTTTGGGCCGTCCAGTGCTTGCCTTGGCTGGCGGAGGAGACAGTGTACCTCAGCCCCGGGTGCCCGTGGTCGTCCAGGACAGTTCCGGGCGGCCCGGGCAACCCCAACGGCGGTGCTGGCAGGGGGCCACATGCGAACCCTACCCCCACCCTCCACGATTTCTGAGGGGGAGGGTGGGGTCCACTTCGCTCGGGAGCTCCCGAACGAAGTGAACCCCACCCTCCCCCTCAGAAATCGTGGGGGGTGGGGGTAGGGTTCGCATGTGGCCCCCTGGCTTGGGAGGTGCCGAGAAGGGGGTTGCCCTCAGAAGAGTCGGGCGCGCTCCATGGCCCACAGGGAGCCATCCTCGGAGCCTCGGGCTGCGAGATGCCCTGACTTGATGTGCTCTGGCTCGTTGGGCTGGAGACCTTCCCAGAACTCCGGATTCCGAGATGTGGTTCGCGAGGTATGCAGGCCCGTTTTGCTTGAGACAGCCTGGGGACCCCAAGCTTCGAGATGTCCTGAATTGAAGCGTTCTGGCCCGTTTCGCTTGAGATGTCCTCACCACTCAGGGTTCCAAGATGTGGTTCGCGAGTTACGCAGGCACGTTTCGCCTGAGGCATCCTCGGAATCCTTGGCTCTGACTGTTTGGCCTGAGACGTCCGCGCAACCCTGAGTTGAAGATACGTTTCACGAGGTGCTCAGGCCCACTTCGCTTGAGACATCCTCGGAACCCCGAGTTCCGAGATGCCCTGACTTGAGATGCTCAGTCCCGTTCCACCTGGGACATCCTCATTGATTTGTTCGCCTGCGACATCCTCAGAACCTCAGGCTTCCAGATGCTCTGAATTGAGGTGCTCTGGCCCGTTTCGCTTGAGACGTCCATTCTGGGTTCCAAAATGTGGTTCGCGAGGTGTTCAGGCACGTTTCGCCTGAGACATCCTCGGAATCCATGGCTGTGACTGTTTGGTCTGAGACGTCTTCGCAACTCTGGGTTGAAGACGCGGTTCGCGAGGTACTCAGGCCCGTCTCGTCTGAGACATCTTTTTCCGAGGTGCCTTGACTAGAGATCTGGCCCGCTTGGCTTGAGACATCCTCGCAACTCACACCTCTGGGTTCCAAGAAGCGGCTCGCGAGGTACTCAGGCCCGTTTCTCTTCAAACATCTTCCGAACCCCGGGGTACTGGGAGATGGCCTGAATTGAGGTGCTCTGGCCCATTTCGTTTGAGCCGTTCTCGCAACTCTTGATTCCAAAGCGTGGTCCGCGAGATGCTCAGGCCAACTTCGCTTGAGACATCCTCGGAATCGAGCAGCATCTTTAGCTTCCGACGCATCTTCATTCTTACTCTGCATATTTGCGTTGGACATACAAGCGCAAGGGAACGCAATCACTTGCGCCTCCTAGAAGGAAATGAACCTCAAGAGTTCCTAAAGCTTCCCTCGTGTTTTGCATATTCATGTCATGTTATACAACATTGCGACTAGTCCGTTTTATGTATTCAACTATTGGAGCAGGCGGGATGTTCAGCTATTTGGAGACGCGCCTATGTTAGCGCCCTGTGCATAATGACGAGGACGTCCATATGTACAGTACAGTAGGCAGCGTGGATGTCCCATCACCGACCCGCTGATGTATTGCTTGCTTCCGCGCGCGTGTCTGTATGTGTGTTTGCGTGTGTGTCGTGTATGTGTATGTGTTTGTAAGCGTTTGTGGTCACGGGTGCGTGCTCCTTTCGGCACTTTTTAATCGTTCTAGCTGTATGAGAACAGAGCATGCATCCCGACTGCACACAGGCCCCTCGTTTTGGGTTGTGCATCTTCCTCCTGCTCCTGCAGCACGTGCTCTCTTCCTTGCACGGTCATCCGATCCCCCTCCCCTCTTCCGACGTCCCTCCTCCATCGCCCTCCCACCCTTTTCTCAACCGTTGTAAAGGAGAGTGCACGAAGAAGGGGTGCAAAGGCAAAATCAATCTGACAGGACGGGTCGCGGAGATGCGACGCATATAAATGCCGGAAATTCTCGGACCTTCCTATTCGAGATCAGTTAGAGGAGTTCGTTGCTTTATTTGTCTCTGGTTGTTTGCAAAGCGTCGTTTGGGATGCATCCACAGCAGTTCACTATGCACGTGCTTGTATTCTATCGACGATTTCCACGTCTACATGCGCCACAGTTGACTGCGCTTCTGCATACCACCGAGTGGCATTTCTGTACACCCACTTCGTGCAGAGAGGGCTCTTTCGATAGGTGGAGCCCCAGTCTGAGTCGCCCTTCTAATCCGATTGCGCAAGGTTTTGTCAGGCAGCTTCGTTGCGCGGAACTGCAGCGGGAACACAGTATCAGCGATCCCCCCTTCTCCCCATCCCCTGAACCACACCACACCAACTTATAATTTTGATGATGTGTCCTCCCCGCGCAGTCCCAGCACCAGCGATTCACGCGCACTGATCTTTGGGTGTCTGTCGCGAGTTCAAAGTCGTGGCTTCAATGCGGTTTCTTGGTTGCCCTGTGACAGATAGCATACGATTGCCCAGGCATTCCATGCGAAGGGACGCTTCTCCATCGGGCGGTCAGATAGGTTGCCAATGGTCAGCATCATGCGTAGTTCGCACCAGCATCAGCCTCATCCGGCCTGTTCTAAAACTAATTTGCGCGTCGTTCTAGCGTGATACATGTGATTCCCTGGACCAATTGAAGATCGACGGGCTATGTAGTAGAATCGTCTGGCATGCAGCGTATCTTCGCAGTGGAAGCAACACAGTACTCTAGGTTTAGTTTAACTCCACTTGAGGTGTGAACCCCACCATAGGCGGAATGAAAACCATAACGAAATGGACCCGAGTAGTGATATCGTTGTTGTCAGCGTCGAATGTGTATTCGCATGTCCGTCCAGATGTAGGCATCTGGAAGTAGTGCGCTCAAAGCGTGGATCATCAATGTCTTGTTCCTTTTGGTGCATCTGCACTTGTCCGTCGTACATTTCTCCTTGCTTTTGCCGCTCTCAGGTTATCACGGGAACTGGCGGCAATGTACACCTCAATTGGTTGACACAAGAGTCGTGGCACACGCCGTTGCGATGGATGCTGGGGCGGCAGCGAAGGGTAGGCTGAGTCTCCATTCCCAGCGGCCTTTCATCCTCCTCATGATTCCCGTCATCGCTCTCCTTTCCTTTTCCCTCACCTCGCCTCCTCCTCATCCTCCGCCTCTGCCTCTTTGCGACGGGGGCCGATCGCAACCACTCGGGGCCGATCGCAACCACTTGGGGGTGATTCCAAGCGGTTGCGATCGGCCCGATGTGGTTGGGATGTTTTGGGTTAGCTTTCAAATTGTTCTGATAAGCAGAGGCTCTCCAAGGGTGCTTGTGGAATGAGTGGGTTGCCTTAGGCTCACCGATTAAATTCTGAAACAGCGGTTGCGATCGGGCCGATCGCGGACCACGAGTAGTAGTAGTAGTAGTAGTAGTAGTAGTAGTAGTAGTAGTAGTAGTAGTAGTAGTAGTGTCAGTAGTAGTTGTTGTAGTAGTAGTAGTAGTAGTAGTAGTAGTAGTAACAGCAGTAGTAGCAGTAGTAGTAGTAGTAGTAGTAGTAGAAGTAGTAGTAGTAGTAGTAGTAGTAGGAGTAGTAGTAGTAGCAGCAGTAGTCGTAGAAGTCGTAGTAGTAGTCGTCGTAGTAGTAGTAGTATTAGTAGCAGTAGTAGTAGTCGAAGTAATAGTAATACCAGACATAGTAGAAGTAGTAGTAGTAGTAGTAGTAGTAGTAGTAGTAGTACTAGTGGTCGTGGAAGTAGTAGTAGTAGTAGTAGTAGCAGTGGTCGTAGCTTTCAAATTGTTCTGATAAGCAGAGGCTCTCCAAGAGTGCTTGTGGAATGAGTGGGTTGCCTCAGGCTCACCGATGAAATTCTGAAACAGCGGTTGCGATCGGGCCTATACCGGACCACGAGTAGTAGTAGTAGTAGTAGTAGTAGTAGTAGTAGTAGT